CCTCTCCTTGCCCCGCCTCGGGACTCAGCCAGGGCCGGCCCCCCCTACACCTTTCTCCGGGTTCCTGCCTCCCGCAGCCAGGTCACGCGCCGCAGGCCCCGCCCCGCCCCTCCCCTCTGCGCTGCACTGCGGTTCCCACAGCCCCGCCTCTCCCCCCCCACCTCCGGAGGAATGACGTCACGAGCCCGCCCCACAGCTCCGCCTCCGTCTCTGCGCGCACACAGGTGGGCGATTTGAGGAAAGGTGAGAATTGCGCGGGCTGGAGAAAAGGGGAGGAGCAGGGAGGTTCAGGAGAAATGTGCATCGTGCTCGGAAATGAGGAGACAGAACTTATAGACTCGTTACCGAACAACTGGGAGGGCTGAAAGACTTCTGGTAGATCGATATTGACAGCACTCAGCACTACCCCTTCAAAAGACTCCACGGCCCCATCAGCTTTACACACTGCGGCGTGTTGGAGGTTCGGAGGCGTCCAGAAGCAGAAACTTGTCTAGCAGGATGGACTCGTTGACTTCGCGGCATTCTAGTCCAGTGTCACCACCTTGAAAATAGGAGATGCGTTTGTTCACTGGGCGTCCCGGGATGGGCCGGCCAATTTCAATCACAAACCCAAGCTCTGTCTCCAAGAATATAGAGTATTCAGTCTCACAGAATTTACTGCCTAGGTTCCGAAGAGAGAACCCGGACCCTAAGATTCTGTGAGGTTCAATTGTCAACCAATTAATCTCGGAGCATTCATGGACCTTGGGCTGCTAAAGCTGGAACAGGAAGGGCACAAGAATCGCATTTAATTCCGTTCCAAATCCTGTTAGAAGGTGATTAGTTTTCTTGACATGTATTAGCCACCTGGTCATTACTGAGAAGCTGACAAATGTTTTTTGTGTTTTTTTGTTTGTTTGTTTGTTTTTAAAAGAGAGCGAGGCCTCTTTTAAACAGGACAACATTCAGGAAGCCACGCTTATAGAACTAAATCTACAATATAAATTCCTCCAAGTCATTACTGAAACATCTAAAATAAGTAATGTTTTTCTGAAAATTTAATAACAGGCAAAAACAAAAAGTCAAAGTAGGACACATTGAAAAGCAGAGCACTAGGATATCATTTTACTTCACCAAACAAATCTTTAAAGCTCTGCGTTCAAATTGAGTCACCACATTTTCAAAAGGATATAGAGAAATGAATGAATCTAATGGGGAAGAAACAAAAAGATAAAGATATGAAAAAAAATCCATTTGGATAATAATCATTATTGAGTGATTTTCCTTAAGGAACAGAAGACCATGGAGGGGGACTAGGTTAATCAGTTGTCCTCCATTTCTTTGGAGGACTGGAAATTAAGGATTACCTCATTGTCAAGAAGGTAAGGCTGGGGAGGCTGCTGAAGGCAGTAGTGGAGTTTCCATCTCTGGCTCCCTCACTCCACCCACTGAAAAGGGGCACTAAAAGTTCACCACTGGTCTATTCTAACTTTCATGGAAGTTAAGTCTGAGCTCTAGTCCCACCAATGCCACTAATTGGCTTTGTGGCCTTAGGTAAGTCATTAAACCTCGATGTTCCCAGCTATAAAATGGACAGCAAGGAGAATGCTGTGGTCCCTTCCAGTTCATAGATGACTCAGCAACGAAAGCTTCCCTTTATCAGAGTCCAGCCCTTCCTTTCCTCCATGCCTCAAGAAAAAGGGATCTAGCATAGCAAGGTGCCAGAATGGTTTCCTCCATCTCCCTCCCCTAGTCAGCCCAAAAGCTCCTTTGACTTTCTTGACTCTATTTGCTACAGGAGAAAAAAAGATAGTGAGAAAAGTGGCAGGAGGTAACAACAGAGGACATAAGTGCCTGACAGAAGAATTAGTATCCCCTGACCCAGGAAAAGTGCAGAGTGCAGAGACTGCCAAAATAGAATGGTTTACTACTTTACTTCACCCTTCTTTAAGCTCTGCCTACTTACTTCCTGTATTTTGGCTGAGATAGTAATTTTTTCTGTCCTCTTCATTATAGTTATTGCCACTCATCAAGTGATCACACTAAGCCCAGACAGCAGAAACCATTGTTTATTCGTCTTCACAGGCCAAGTCTTTTCCACAGTGCTAGCCCCACTCCCATATAGTCAACTCATTTGTTGTAGAAGTGAATAAAGAAATGGATGAATGGCAGAGGTATAGCACAACCAGGGAAAGATATATAGTATTTATGATTTTTTATTAAAAGGACTATATTGGAATTAGGTACTCCCTTCTCTTCGTTTTTTTATTCCATGTGAGAGAGATTGATTTTAATATGTATATTAAAAGGAGGTTTTAGTAATGACTTGCACATTTTATTTAAGATATATTTTGATGTTGTCAACCACATGGCTCTACTGAGCTCTATGTTTTCAGATTTTCTCAATGCCTTTTTTTCTTTCTTTTTCATTTTCATCTTTCTTTTTTCTTCCCCAGGGAACTTACATTCTTGAAGTTTATTACATTTATGGACAATGACACAAAATCTGGCATGTAATGTTTTCTAAGGCCTTACCTGTCAATTTTACAAGCATTTAATCTGCTAAAGGGCATCATGTAAACCCCAATCATATACATGGGCTAATCACATAGGGAATTCCTGGCCAATACTTCTTGGTTGATTTATAGATTTTCTTTTTTAGTGATATGGCAATGATTTACAACTCTTAGTAAGGGATTTGCTAGAGGGGAAATAGAGCGAGTGCTAACATTCTTTATATGATTTTTCTCTTAATTGGAATCAATTACTATCCTGTATCTTGTATATAGTATGATGACTACCAAATTCATTTCATTTCTAGCTTCTCCACTGAATCATAGTAACTTTGAGCAAGTTATATTTTGGTGTTTTAATTCCTTTGTAAAATAAGCAGCATATTCCTTCTATAGCTTTATAAATTATGTTGTAAAAGAATGAGTATACGTGTGCTTTTGATGCCACATGGTTCGACTATTTTATTAATGTTGAATATGACTGGATTTACATCTTTTTTGGAGGTGGTCATTCAGAGAAATGGAGGAGATTGGTAACTGTTCTTAGAAAAGCTGAATGACTATTTGCTTCAAATTATATAAATTATCTCTGTTTAAGAAACTGCTGAAATCCAAAGATATCAATCAAGATTCTTAGAGGCTGACTTAGGCAGACAAGGATTTATTGAAAGGATGATAAGAAGCTCACAGAACTCTTGGGAGTGCTGAAGAACCCAGCATAGAAAACTGGTAGAAACAAAGGATGCTGAGCAGCAGCCAGGACCACAGTCAAAGTCATCCCCAAAACCAGCCAGCTGAGGCCACCATTGCTATGCCCCCTGGGACAGGCTAACACAGCTTGCAATATCACTGTGGAGACACTAGCCACTGCATGCCACAATTTACATTACAGACCCTTTTCCATTGAGGTTTTTCATCACAAATTCTCGTTTACTTATACTTTAACAATGGATTGTTTCCTTACAAGATGCAAAAAAATGGCCATAAGATCTCTTTGTAAAAA